GGCGACACGACAGCAGCCTTCTCACAGATCAACCAGGTAGACTGCAACAGCAATAGCAACATGCCATCCACCATGAAGGCCTGCTTGGCTACCGACAGCGGCGATAATTACGAGGCCAATTTGTGCATCCAAACTGATTGGCCGGCACCATCGGCCACAGACTTGCAGCCAGGCTCCATGCTGATTCGAGTGCTGACATGTGCCTTGGCACCAGGAGATGTACGGTTAATGACGGGGAAAACAGATCGATTCCAGCTTCCCAAAGGGGGCCGACCCTATGTTCTTGGCAGCGATGTGGCAGGCATCGTTGTAGCAACACGCCCAGAGGAAACCAAGTTCCAAATGGACGACTATGTGGTGGCACGATTTGATGAACCCAAACCACACGGCGGATTGGCAGAGTATAGAGTTGTATTGACGCACTTGTCAGAAAAATGTCCCTGCAGCATTCCTCCTACCATTGCTTGTGGACTGCCGGCATCTGCCATGGCTGCCAAACGGGTTGTGCGAGAATTTGTTCAGCCGCACCATCGTGTTTTGATTTTGGGCGGTTCCGGTGCAGTCGGTAGCAGCATGATCCAGTATGCCAAGCACATCGAGGGAGTCACCGTGATTGCAGTATCTGCGCAAAAAGAACTCTGTGAAAAGTTGGGCGCTGACATTGTTTTGGATTATCGCACAACCAAGTGGTGGCAAGCGCCCGAGCTGACACAAAGCAGTCAGCAACAAGTCGACGTCGTATTGGACCTGGTCAATGGAAAAGAAAATTGGCCCATTGGAGCGTGTTCTGGGTTTGCAATCAAAAAAAATGGTACTTACGTGTCGCTGCTGTCGGGTGTGGAAACAGAGATTGATGGTAGCACCATTTGGAGCCTCGTCAAGATGCTGGGAGGCATGATGGGCCGGAAGTTGTATTCCAAATGGCATCCAAAAGCTCCCACCTGGGCGACTCCGGAAGCTCTGAAATTAGAAGAAGGAGACTTGACGGGTCTCTTTCAAGATGTAGTGGATGGAAGGCTCAAGCCTTTGGTCGACCCTGCTTCGCCATTTCCTTTTACCAAGGAGGGAGTTGTAAGCGCCATGGAGCTGCAGAGATCCAAGCATGCCCACGGCAAGGTCGTCGTGACCATAGCAGAGAAATAAAGGATGATGGATTGTTATCAAGCTGCTCCAGGAGGGTCATTTCCTTTCGAACTGCATGATGCCACGCGCTCAAAATTGTGAAATCAGCACAGGTGGACGGGATGCACAGTCCAATGCTATGATTGTCATTATTGTTATTATGACTACTGCCACGTTTGCTTGTATTGCAATTATTGTCTTTCGTGCTGTTGTTGCTAGTATTGCGATTATTGTTACTATTGTTATTCTTGATTCTTTTGTATTTCTGTTATTGTCATCATGGTTATTGTTAATATTGTTGTTTGCGATTATTGTTATTATTGTTGTTATTGTTGTTATTGTTGTTATTGCTGTTATTGTTGTTATTGTTGTTATTGTTGTTAGTGTTATTATTGTTATTATTGTTATTATGAGAGGCGCCCAGGCAATGGCAAGTGTAGCCGAGATGGTGGTTTCTGAGCAGGCGGTGAACCGGACGCCCCGGAAAAGCTTCAGCTGGTCGACGTATTGTGCATGTCAACAGCTCACACGGCTCACAGAAGTTGTGATTAGATACCATGGCCTGGTCTGCCAGTGAGATCCGCGAATGGGCAACCCGCGAGGCCTTGACCGGTCGAGTTCTCACAAAGGCCGAGGACCTGGCCGAAGAAGGCGGCTTGGCGGTGCTCACAGATGAGTGGCTGCGCCGCAATGGGGTTGTGATGCTGCCGGTCCGCAACCGCATCCTGTTGGCGGCACACGTGGCCTTGAACCCGAACAAGCCCAAAGCGTTCAGGTTCGGGAGGGTCGATACAGTGACGTATGACTACGTAGCCCCGGAGTACCCGGAGTTCCTCTTGGCCCCGCCGAGCCGGCCAAGAAGGGACAATGCATCCGAAGCCACGGCCCTGCGAGACGCCCTCGCAAACACTGAAGCTAACGAGGATGACTCCGACGAGGATGACTCCGACGAGGAAGAGACAGCCAAGGATGAGACAGAGCCTGAGGCCAACATGAATGTGCGTGAAGTGAGCGAGGCTGCACACAATCAGGCTAGCAACCGCTTCACCCCGCAGCCGCAGCGCCCAGCGCTTTTGGCGGCACCCGGCCAGTTCAGCATGCGAGAGACAGTCGAAGTACCGCAGGTGGCGCAGCAAGTGCCTACTTGCGAAGGGTCTTTTTGTGCAAGCTTCGACGAATGGGACGCCGAGACGGGTCCATGCATGAAGCACAGCCAGCCCAGCATGCCCATTAGTATCTCAGTAGTACCCGTATTTCGGGCCCTTTGTATAAAACACATGAAGTTCACATGAAGCAAAACAGGTGCTTCTTTGTCTTGGGCTACTGGGCAAGCTGTTGATGCGCAATCGGCAGCTCCACCTGCGAGCAAGACCTTGCAGCATTTAGTCTGCGATCAATTTCAATCGCTTTGCCACTTGGCTCTGAAAGCAGCAGAAGGCAATCCACGCTGCGGTAAAGTCAGGGCGTCGGCAAGGTGGGAGAAGTTGCACGGGCACGCAGCCAAAGCCCTAAAGACCAACTGCTAAAGCTTAAGCCTTAAACCCTGCCAGTAACTGAAAGGGCCGGGAGCAGTTGGGTCCAATTGGGTTAAGCTGGGCGGGACGGTTTGTTCGGACGACATAGGGGCCGTAAGCCCTCAACCTTAAACCCTAGAAGCCGAAAACCCCAAAGCCTTAAACCCTGAACAGTACACCCTAAACCCTTAAAGCCTGCCCTAAACCCTCGAAAGTCCTCGGGTTGAGAGGCGCCCAGGCAATGGCAAGTGTAGCCGAGATGGTGGTTTCTGAGCAGGCGGTGAACCGGACGCCCCGGAAAAGCTTCAGCTGGTCGACGTATTGTGCATGTCAACAGCTCACACGGCTCACAGAAGTTGTGATTAGATACCATGGCCTGGTCTGCCAGTGAGATCCGCGAATGGGCAACCCGCGAGGCCTTGACCGGTCGAGTTCTCACAAAGGCCGAGGACCTGGCCGAAGAAGGCGGCTTGGCGGTGCTCACAGATGAGTGGCTGCGCCGCAATGGGGTTGTGATGCTGCCGGTCCGCAACCGCATCCTGTTGGCGGCACACGTGGCCTTGAACCCGAACAAGCCCAAAGCGTTCAGGTTCGGGAGGGTCGATACAGTGACGTATGACTACGTAGCCCCGGAGTACCCGGAGTTCCTCTTGGCCCCACCGAGCCGGCCAAGAAGGGACAATGCATCCGAAGCCACGGCCCTGCGAGACGCCCTCGCAAACACTGAAGCTAACGAGGATGACTCCGACGAGGATGACTCCGACGAGGAAGAGACAGCCAAGGATGAGACAGAGCCTGAGGCCAACATGAGTGTGCGTGAAGTGAGCGAGGCTGCACACAATCAGGCTAGCAACCGTTTCACCCCGCAGCCGCAGCGCCCAGCGCTTTTGGCGGCACCCGGCCAGTTCAGCATGCGAGAGAAAGTCGAAGTACCGCAAGTGACGCAGCAAGTGCCTACTTGCGAAGGGTCTTTTTGGTGGAGTTTGATCCACCAGACGTTTCAATGCTTCACCGCCGAGATGGCTGTGCAAGCTTCGATGAATGGGACGCCAAGACGGGTCCATGCATGAATCACAGCCAGCCCAGCATTCCCATTAGTATCTCAGTAGTATCCGTATTTCGGGTCCTTGCCATAAAACACGTGAAGTTCACATGAAGCAAAACAGGTGCTTCTTTGTCTTGGGCTACTGGGCAAGCTGTTGATGCGCAATCGGCAGCTCCACCTGCGAGCAAGACCTTGCAGCATTTAGTCTGCGATCAATTTCCAATCGCTTCGCCACTTAGGAAGGCACAATCAGTTTCAATCGCTTCGCCACTGAGGAAGGCACTCTGCGCTGCAGTAAAGTCAGGGTGTCCGCAAGGTGGGAGAAGTTGCGCGGGCACGCCCTACGCCCGGAACTCCCAAACCTTCAGCGCCAACCCTCTCGGCGTGAACCCCCCCAAGCTTTAGGCCCCAGCGTGGGTTCCAAGGGCTTTCTCATGGAGAGCGTTGCGGTCAGCATCCATGCACGGCCCAACTTTCACGTTCTAGATGTTCCGTCCAGGTTTCAGGTTCATGAGGCCATGCGGTTCATGCAATCACGTCTAGATGCCCTATTCGCGGTTCGGATTTCAAAGTCTAGGCGTTCGTGATCCTTGTATTAAGATGCAGTAATCATTTCGTTTTGACAGATCTCTGCAGCAGACTTCTATTGAGACCTTCACTGACCCGTGCATGTAGGCCCTGAGTTTGTATAAGTTTGTTTGTTTCATGTCTAGGTGTCAGTCATCAGTAGTGGAAGTCTTTCGAGCTGGACAAGGATGAGGCGCTATGGGAACTCACTCTCACATGAGAAAGCATTAAATACACATTTTGATAGCATGTCTTGCTGATCGCTAACACAACTCAGTCACCCAGCTGACTCACGCCTCCCGCTCATACATTTTCTCAGGCAACTCAATCACATGTCACTCACACATCTTACTCTTGTACTAGCTCGCACAACTCACCCACGCATCTCAGCACACAGCTCAGTCACACCATTTACTCACGCCACTCAGTCACGCATGTTTTCACATGTTTACACACGCGCACACACACACACACACACACACACAGACAAATCGTGCACATCTCACCCAAACACTTTCACACGAATCGGCCTGCGCATCGTATTCATGTGTTGTCTAGAGCTCGGTTGCAATCGAAGACAGTTTTATGATTGTTGTCATTGTTGTGTTATTGAAATTACCTTTCTTATTGCCATTGTTGTTATTGTTATCATTGCTATGCACCGGACGCCCCGGAAAAGCTTCAGCTGGTCGAAGTGTTGTGCATGTCAACAGCTCACGGCTCAGGCACAGGCGAAGTTGTGACTAGATACCATGGCCTGGTCTGCCAGTGAGATCCGCGAGTGGGCAAGCCGCGAGGCCTTGACCGGTCGAGTTCTCACCAAGGCCGAGGACCTGGCCGAAGAAGGCGGCTTGGCGGTGCTCACAGATGAGTGGCTGCGCCGCAATGGGGTTGTGATGCTGCCGGTCCGCAACCGCATCCTGTTGGCGGCACACGTGGCCTTGAACCCGAACAAGCCCAAAGCGTTCAGGTTCGGGAGGGTCGATACAGTGACGTATGACTACGTAGCCCCGGAGTACCCGGAGTTCCTCTTGGCCCCACCGAGCCGGCCAAGAAGGGACAATGCATCCGAAGCCACGGCCCTGCGAGACGCCCTCGCAAACACTGCAGCCAACGAGGATGACTCCGACGAGGATGACTCCGACGAGGAAGAGACAGCCAAGGATGAGACAGAGCCTGAGGCCAACATGAATGTGCGTGAAGTGAGCGAGGCTGCACACAATCAGGCTAGCAACCGTTTCACCCCGCAGCCGCAGCGCCCAGCGCTTTTGGCGGCACCCGGCCAGTTCAGCATGCGAGAGAAAGTCGAAGTACCGCAAGTGACGCAGCAAGTGCCTACTTGCGAAGGGTCTTTTTGGTGGAGTTTGATCCACCAGACGTTTCAATGCTTCACCGCCGAGATGGCTGTGCAAGCTTCGATGAATGGGACGCCAAGACGGGTCCATGCATGAATCACAGCCAGCCCAGCATGCCCATTAGTATCTCAGTAGTACCCGTATTTCGGGTCCTTTCCATAAAACACATGAAGTTCACATGAAGCAAAACAGGTGCTTCTTTGTCTTGGGCTACTGGGCAAGCTGTTGATGCGCAATCGGCAGCTCCACCTGCGAGCAAGACCTTGCAGCATTTAGTCTGCGATCAATTTCAATCGCTTTGCCACTTGGCTCTGAAAGCAGCAGAAGGCAATCCACGCTGCGGTAAAGTCAGGGCGTCGGCAAGGTGGGAGAAGTTGCACGGGCACGCAGCCAAAGCCCTAAAGACCAACCGCTAAAGCTTAAGCCTTAAACGCCTGCCAGTGAGCTGAAGGGGCCGGGAGCAGCTGGGTTAAGCTGGGCGGGATGGCCTCTTCGAACGAAATAGGGGCCGTAAGCCCTCAACCTTAAACCCTGGAAGCCTAAACCCCCAAAGCCTTAAACCTGAACATTACACCCTAAACATCCCTAAACCCTGATAACCTGCCCTAAACCCTCAAAAGTCCTTGGTTGAGAGGCACCCAGGCAATGGCAAGTGTAGCCGAGATGGTGGTTTCTGAGCAGGCGGTGAACCGGACGCCCCGGAAAAGCTTCAGCTGGTCGAAGTGTTGTGCGTGTCAACAGCTCACGGCTCAGGCACAGGCGAAGTTGTGACTAGATACCATGGCCTGGTCTGCCAGTGAGATCCGCGAGTGGGCAAGCCGCGAGGCCTTGACCGGTCGAGTTCTCACCAAGGCCGAGGACCTGGCCGAAGAAGGCGGCTTGGCGGTGCTCACAGATGAGTGGCTGCGCCGCAATGGGGTTGTGATGCTGCCGGTCCGCAACCGCATCCTGTTGGCGGCACACGTGGCCTTGAACCCGAACAAGCCCAAAGCGTTCAGGTTCGGGAGGGTCGATACAGTGACGTATGACTACGTAGCCCCGGAGTACCCGGAGTTCCTCTTGGCCCCACCGAGGCGGCGAAGAAGGGACAATGCATCCGAAGCCACGGCCCTGCGAGACGCCCTCGCAAACACTGCAGCTAACGAGGATGACTCCGACGAGGATGACTCCGACGAGGAAGAGACAGCCAAGGATGAGACAGAGCCTGAGGCCAACATGAATGTGCGTGAAGTGAGCGAGGCTGCACACAATCAGGCTAGCAACCGTTTCACCCCGCAGCCGCAGCGCCCAGCGCTTTTGGCGGCACCCGGCCAGTTCAGCATGCGAGAGAAAGTCGAAGTACCGCAAGTGACGCAGCAAGTGCCTACTTGCGAAGGGTCTTTTTGGTGGAGTTTGATCCACCAGACGTTTCAATGCTTCACCGCCGAGATGGCTGTGCAAGCTTCGATGAATGGGACGCCAAGACGGGTCCATGCATGAATCACAGCCAGCCCAGCACCATTAGTATCTCAGTAGTATCCGTATGTCGGGTCCTTTCCATAAAACACATGAAGTTCACATGAAGCAAAACAGGTGCTTCTTTGTCTTGGGCTACTGGGCAAGCTGTTGATGCGCAATCGGCAGCTCCACCTGCGAGCAAGACCTTGCAGCATTTAGTCTGCGATCAATTTCCAATCGCTTCGCCACTTAGGAAGGCACAATCAATTTCAATCGCTTCGCCACTGAGGAAGGCACTCTGCGCTGCAGTAAAGTCAGGGTATCCGCAAGGTCAGAGAAGACTGCGAAGGCCTGCCCTATGCCCGGAACTCCCAAACCTTGAGCGCCAGTCCCCCAAGCTTTAGGTCCCAAACGTGGGTTCCAAGGGGCTTTCTCATGGAGAGCTTTATGGTCAGCATCCATGCATGGCCCAACTTTCACGTTCTTTTCCATCCAGGTTTCAGGTTCATGGGGTAATGTGGTTCATGCAATCACGTCTAAATGCCCTATTCACGGTTCGGATTTCAAAGGCTAGGTGTTCGTGATCCTTGTATTAAGATGCAGTAATCATTTCGTTTTGACAGATTCCTGCAGCAGACTTCTAAGAGCTTCCCTGACCCGTTCATGTAGGCCCTGAGTTTGTACAGGTTTGTTTGTTTCGTGTTTAGGTGCTTCCACTGCCAGTGTTGTCAGTCATCAGTAGTGGGAGGATGAGGCGCTATGAAAACTCAAGCTCACATGAGAAAGCATCAAATACACATTTGGATAGCACGCCTCGCTTTTCGCAAACATAACGCAGTCACCCACCTGACTGCACGCCTACCGCTCGCACATTTTTCTCACGCAACTCAATCACATGTCACCCACACATCTTACCCTTGCACAAAATCGCACAACTCACCCACGCATCTCAGCTCACAACTCACCCACGGCTCAGTCATACCATGTACTCACGCCACTCAGTCACGCATGTTTTCACATGTTTACACACGCACGCACGCACGCACGCAAACACTCCGCGCTGCAGTACAGTCAGGGTATCCGCAAGGTCGGAGAAGACTGCGAAGGCATGCCCTACGCCCGGAACTCCCAAACCTTAAGCGCCAGTCCCCCAAGTTTTTAGGCCCCAAACGTGGGTTGCAAGGGGCTTTCTCATGGAGAGCTTTACACACACGCAGACAAATCGTGCACATCTCACCCAAACACTTTCACACGAATCGGCCTGCGCATCGTATTCATGTGTTGTCTAGAGCTCGGTTGCAATCGAAGACAGTTTTATGATTGTTGTCATTGTTGTGTTATTGAAATTACCTTTCTTATTGCCATTGTTGTTATTGTTATCATTGCTATGCACCGGACGCCCCGGAAAAGCTTCAGCTGGTCGAAGTGTTGTGCATGTCAACAGCTCACGGCTCAGGCACAGGCGAAGTTGTGACTAGATACCATGGCCTGGTCTGCCAGTGAGATCCGCGAGTGGGCAAGCCGCGAGGCCTTGACCGGTCGAGTTCTCACCAAGGCCGAGGACCTGGCCGAAGAAGGCGGCTTGGCGGTGCTCACAGATGAGTGGCTGCGCCGCAATGGGGTTGTGATGCTGCCGGTCCGCAACCGCATCCTGTTGGCGGCACACGTGGCCTTGAACCCGAACAAGCCCAAAGCGTTCAGGTTCGGGAGGGTCGATACAGTGACGTATGACTACGTAGCCCCGGAGTACCCGGAGTTCCTCTTGGCCCCACCGAGCCGGCCAAGAAGGGACAATGCATCCGAAGCCACGGCCCTGCGAGACGCCCTCGCAAACACTGCAGCTAACGAGGATGACTCCGACGAGGATGACTCCGACGAGGAAGAGACAGCCAAGGATGAGACAGAGCCTGAGGCCAACATGAATGTGCGTGAAGTGAGCGAGGCTGCACACAATCAGGCTAGCAACCGTTTCACCCCGCAGCCGCAGCGCCCACCGCTTTTGGCGGCACCCGGCCAGTTCAGCATGCGAGAGAAAGTCGAAGTACCGCAAGTGACGCAGCAAGTGCCTACTTGCGAAGGGTCTTTTTGGTGGAGTTTGATCCACCAGACGTTTCAATGCTTCACCGCCGAGATGGCTGTGCAAGCTTCGATGAATGGGACGCCAAGACGGGTCCCTGCATGAATCACAGCCAGCCCAGCATTCCCATTAGTATCTCAGTAGTATCCGTATTTCGGGTCCTTTCCATAAAACACGTGAAGTTCACATGAAGCAAAACAGGTGCTTCTTTGTCTTGGGCTACTGGGCAAGCTGTTGATGCGCAATCGGCAGCTCCACCTGCGAGCAAGACCTTGCAGCATTTAGTCTGCGATCAATTTCCAATCGCTTCGCCACTTAGGAAGGCACAATCAGTTTCAATCGCTTCGCCACTGAGGAAGGCACTCTGCGCTGCAGTAAAGTCAGGGTGTCCGCAAGGTGGGAGAAGTTGCGCGGGCACGCCCTACGCCCGGAACTCCCAAACCTTCAGCGCCAACCCTCTCGGCGTGAACCCCCCCAAGCTTTAGGCCCCAGCGTGGGTTCCAAGGGCTTTCTCATGGAGAGCGTTGCGGTCAGCATCCATGCACGGCCCAACTTTCACGTTCTAGATGTTCCGTCCAGGTTTCAGGTTCATGAGGCCATGCGGTTCATGCAATCACGTCTAGATGCCCTATTCGCGGTTCGGATTTCAAAGTCTAGGCGTTCGTGATCCTTGTATTAAGATGCAGTAATCATTTCGTTTTGACAGATCTCTGCAGCAGACTTCTATTGAGACCTTCACTGACCCGTGCATGTAGGCCCTGAGTTTGTATAAGTTTGTTTGTTTCATGTCTAGGTGTCAGTCATCAGTAGTGGAAGTCTTTCGAGCTGGACAAGGATGAGGCGCTATGGGAACTCACTCTCACATGAGAAAGCATTAAATACACATTTTGATAGCATGTCTTGCTGATCGCTAACACAACTCAGTCACCCAGCTGACTCACGCCTCCCGCTCATACATTTTCTCAGGCAACTCAATCACATGTCACTCACACATCTTACTCTTGTACTAGCTCGCACAACTCACCCACGCATCTCAGCACACAGCTCAGTCACACCATTTACTCACGCCACTCAGTCACGCATGTTTTCACATGTTTACACACGCACACACACACACAGACAAATCGTGCACATCTCACCCAAACACTTTCACACGAATCGGCCTGCGCATCGTATTCATGTGTTGTCTAGAGCTCGGTTGCAATCGAAGACAGTTTTATGATTGTTGTCATTGTTGTGTTATTGAAATTACCTTTCTTATTGCCATTGTTGTTATTGTTATCATTGCTATGCACCGGACGCCCCGGAAAAGCTTCAGCTGGTCGAAGTGTTGTGCATGTCAACAGCTCACGGCTCAGGCACAGGCGAAGTTGTGACTAGATACCATGGCCTGGTCTGCCAGTGAGATCCGCGAGTGGGCAAGCCGCGAGGCCTTGACCGGTCGAGTTCTCACCAAGGCCGAGGACCTGGCCGAAGAAGGCGGCTTGGCGGTGCTCACAGATGAGTGGCTGCGCCGCAATGGGGTTGTGATGCTGCCGGTCCGCAACCGCATCCTGTTGGCGGCACACGTGGCCTTGAACCC